ATTTCACAATAAATAATTTTGATCAACCAAAGGCATTTTACAATTAAAAGTTCAAATTTGCCACTCATTATTTTGAGCATATTTTAATGAATTTTTTGTAAGGTTGGCAAATTTCAATTTATTACATTCAAAATATGTGCACATCCCTTATATCCAAAGGCATCTTTGTTTATTATAATCAAATTCACAAAATTCTTCTTATAAAATGTCATCACAAGATTGTGGTGTCTCTTAACAACCACCACCAAGTTTACCCATACAATTTCCATATTTCTTACAATCTGTTTGACTATAATGAAGTGGAGCATGATTACATGTCCTTTTTTCACATTTATCGTTATACCATACACAATCCTATATTTCGATTGAGTAACAATCTATTTAATTAGCATAACCTTCGCATGTTTACGGTCTTTATTTACATCCTCCATTTTCAGAAGATACACAATCTAGTTTATTGTCATAATCTTAGCATTATTAATAATTTTAAAGGGAATCCAAAGCAGTGTCACAACTTTTGATTTTACATTAATTATTATGATATTCACATTTATTTCCCTAGGCATCTGTAACACAACCATATTTATTTTCAGCATCGCTACATTGCTTTCTTTATACACAATGAATTCCATTTGTAGTACATTAACTTAAATAAGATTTACACTCATAATCTTATGAAAAATTGAGATTTTCACACATTTTTTCAACACATTTATCATTTTTTGAATCCCAAAAGCAGTTTTAAGATTTGGATTTGCTTTCAAAGCATTAAAACTCCTTTTAGTATTAAGTGCATTAATCCTTTTATCCCATACATCCATAGCCGAGTTCATTTACGGTACAACCATCTAGAGCTTATTTACAAATAATATGGCTCAATAAATATTTTGGCAGTTCTTCGCACAAAATTACGTCACGACATTTCTTTTCCTTTTCTTAAACCCAAAAACAGTATCTTCCGTTTTAATTCTAATTTGCACATCCTGTCTCTGTTTTGTAGTTATTACATTCCAAAATCTCAACACACATTCCTCCATCAGAAACACATCTATAAGAAGATTTTTAGCATTCATCTTTGTTGAATACTAGGCAGTTAACAAAATTAACACAATGACCCAAATAAAAACCACATTACTTCTATAATCTACAATCTTCTTCTGCAAAATTTTTACATGTAATCTACTCTTAATTCTCTTAAATATATGTGTGAGCTGATCTTAGAACACAAACCCCATTCTCCCAAATGCAAAAGCCTGAGTTTTAACATTAAGTTTAATCGCGGACGTGTCCACAAATACACTTTTTTGAGATTTCCTGACTTTCTGTTAATAGAAAAAGGCAAAGTAGAATGTATAATTTGAAAATAGTCATTTTAATTAATGATTAAAATTTGCTTTGCTCTTTAGATAAAAAATTCTATAATATCTTATTTAAATATGAATATTTTTCTATTAAATTTTAAATATAAAAAACAAAATAACACTATGGGCTTTACCAAACCTCATAGTTTCTTTTTAGCCAATATAAAGAATATAAGGAAAATTGTTTATCAACCTATTTGTAAAATAATTAGGTTTCCTTAAGCTGATATTTATATCCAGTTGATATTTCTTTTTTTAACTTATGTTTTGGCCCTGTAATTACAATTCAAGCCTAAAAGTGTGCTTTTACAAATATACCAATCGAATATTGTTTACCATTCAACGTTTTTGATCATTAATTTTCATTTATTCTCTATTTTCAGGTTTATGGATTTTAATAAAAAAATTATTAATTATGCACTTTTTTATTTAATATTCCCTTCATTCCAATTTTTAAATTGAAACAAAAATCTTACTTAAGCCAAATTTTCAAATTGATATCAAATTCTTATTCTTATTAATCACAATATTAAATGGGATTTACAAATGATGTAACAAATAAAAAAATTAAGAATTAAGGAATCCTAATAGTGATGACAAAATATAAATTAATCAAAATTTGTAAACTTCCACCATATCTGCAGCATGATCTCTTTATTCTATAGAAGTGCTTAAAGGTATTATCATTAGATTGTTCACATTATAAATATTTGTCTATTAATCTTTTATTGTTTCCTTCCATATATAATTTTAAAAGTAACAATGGGAAAATAAAACACTATGCCCTGAAGAGACCAAAATATAAACTTATTTACAATATTAAACTTTCGAATTATCTTGTCATCAATTACTTTAAGAATTACTCCAATGGATAGTGTTGTTTATTAATATTTAAATATAATTTTCATTCTTTTTAATATCCAAGGTGAAAAATATATAAACTACTTTACATCCAGCATCTTTTGGTTTAACAACTATAGCAAAATAATATTTATTGATATCCTTAT